AGGCCTAAATAGAAATATATTTTCTGTAAATTTTTATTTTTTGTTTTTTAGTGTCTTTATTAAATGTCTTATTTGGCTCAGACGTCACAACTTTAATCCATTTTTAAACACATGATAAAAATAGCAAACAATATGTAACAATAGATTGTTAGGCTGTATTACTTAAATAAACTTCTTTTATACATTAAAAACTAAAAAAAAAACAAAAGAAAATGAAACAAATATATTAATAATATATATAGATTTTAAAAAAAATTGTCTGAAAAATTGATAAGGAATTAATTAGGGCTGATTGGGGTAAACTATGGTCTAAGAAGGGGTTAAACAGAAAATATATTTTATGTCATTTTATTTTTGTAAAATTTCTTTAATTGTCTTATTTGGCTCAAAAATCACAATTTTAATATATCTTTATTCCCATGATAAAAACAGCAATCAATATGTAACAATGCATTGCTACACTGTATTACTTAATGACACTTCTTTTATACATTAAAAACGAAAAAATAACAAATAAACAAAATAAAATGAAACAAATAAATGAATAATATATATAGATATTTAAAACAAACCGGCTGAAAAAATGATAAGCAATTAGGGCTGATTGGGGTAAACTATGGTTTAATAAGGGCTTAAATAGAAATATATTTTATGTAATTTTTTTTTTTTTGTAAAATTTCTTTAATTAAATGTCTTATTTGGCTCAAAAGTCACAACTTTAATCTATCTCTAATCCCATGATATAAACAGCAAACAATATGTACCAATGCATTGTTACACTGTATTACTTAATGACACTTGCAGACTATCTACAAGCAGGGGCGGACTGACAACTCATGGGGCCCCCCGAGCAATAGGGGATCATGGGGCCCCTGTGTCCTCGCCCACACTCAAACCACACCCAAAAAAGCCCATGAAAGGTACCAGGGGCATCTCATGGGACCCTCTACTGACCCCGGGCCCTCAGGCAGTGCCCGACTTCCCAAATGGTCAGTCCGCCAGCTGCATTGTAACAGTGATCCTTCTACTACATCAAGGGTGTCAAACTCTATTTCATCGCGGGCCGTATCAGCACTATGGTTGCCCTCAAAGGGCCGGTTGTATCTGTAAGCCTAGATGTCCAAAGCACCCCCCCCCCCTTACATCAGATGTCAAGAATCCCACACCCTCCCTAAACATCACTGTGCACCCCCTTTGGGGGAAGAGCTGGAAAGCAGAAAGTGCAGGGTCTAGAGGAGGACCAGAGGAGGAGTGGAGTCAGTTACCAGAGTCTGCTGAATGCTGAGACCAGGGGAGGCAGAGATGAGGGGGGGCTGCAGCTCCATTGAGAGGTGCAGGATTCGGCAGAGGAGTTCTATTGTCCTCTCTGCTGCCGACTGCTGAGACAAGGTGGGGGTGGAGCTAAAGGGGGTACCTGCAGGAGAGGTGCAAGGGCCACATGAATTGGCATGGAGGGCCTTGTGTTTGCTACCTGTGTACTACAGTATATGATACATAGCAATTCCCGACTATCATTATGAGCAAATCCAAGAACTGCTAAGGCTGGTCCTACATGGGAAAAAATTCGACTGATTTTTCGTCCGAAAATTGGACCTAAAAATAATCTGCTGATTTTCGCTCTGTTAGTGGGGTCAATGGCACCGGACGATTTTCGCTCTGTTAGTAGGTCAATGGCACCGGACGATTTTCGCTCTGTTAGTGGGGTCAATGGCACCGGATGATTTTCGCTCTGTTAGTGGGTCAATGACACCGGACGATTTTTGCTCTGTTAGTGGGGGTCTATGACACCAGACGATTTTCGCTCTCTTAGTGGGGTCAATGACACCGGACGATTTTCGCTCTCTTAGTGGGGTCAATGACACCAGACGATTTTCGCTCTCTTAGTGGGTTCAATGGCACCGGACGATTTTTGCTCTGTTAGTGGGTCAGTGACACCGGACGATTTTCTCTCTGTTAGTGGGGTCAATGACACCGGACGATTTTCTCTCTGTTAGTGGGGTCAATGACACCGGACGATTTTCTCTCTGTTAGTGGGGTCAATGACACCGGACGATTTTTGCTCTGTTAGTGGGGTCAATGACACCGGACGATTTTCTCTGTTAGTGGGGTCAATGACACCGGATGATTTTCGTTGTTCGTGGGGTCAATGACACTGGACGATTTTCGCTCTGTTAGTGGAGTCAATGGCACTGGACGATTTTCGCTCTATTAGTGGGTCAATGACACCGGACAATTTTCTCTGTTAGTGGGGTCAATGACACCGGACGATTTTCGTTCTGTTAGTCTTCAATGGCACCGGACGATTTTCGTGGGGGGTCAATGACACCGGACGATTTTCGCTCTGTTAGTGGGGTCAATGACACCGGACGATTTTCGCTCTGTTAGTGGGGTCAATGGCACCGGACGATTTTCGCTCTGTTAGTGGGGTCAATGGCACCGGACGATTTTCGCTCTGTTAGTGGGGTCAATGACACCGGACGATTTTCGCTCTGTTAGTGGGGTCAATGGCACCGGACGATTTTCGCTCTGTTAGTGGGGTCAATGGCACCGGACGATTTTCGCTCTGTTAGTGGGGTCAATGGCACCGGACGATTTTCGCTCTGTTAGTGGGGTCAATGGCACCGGACGATTTTCGCTCTGTTAGTGGGGTCAATGGCATCGGACGATTTTCGCTCTGTTAGCGGGGTCAATGGCACCGGACGATTTTCGCTCTGTTAGTGGGGTCAATGGCACCGGACGATTTTCGCTCTGTTAGTGGGGTCAATGGCACCGGACGATTTTCGCTCTGTTAGCGGGGTCAATGGCATCGGACGATTTTCTCTCTGTTAGCGGGGTCAATGGCACCGGACGATTTTCTCTCTGTTAGTGGGGTCAATGGCACCGGACGATTTTCGCTCTGTTAGTGGGGTCAATGGCACACCGGACACTGACGATTTTCTCTCTGTTAGTGGGTCAATGGCACCGGACGGATTTCGTGGTTCCTCCCCTTTTTGGTGATCGGGCATGTTGGAAAATTTGTGAAAAAACGACCGATTTTCAACTCAATGATGGTCAAACCGTACGATCATTTTTCCGAAAAGAATAGGTGAGCCGAGACCTGGAAGTAACAGAAGTTTTGCCTGTTATATGGGGGGAACTTTATGACTCGGTCGGCTGATTTTCGAAATCATTGATGGCGCCATCGGATTACCGAGCGAACGACGTTTTCGATTTTCAGATGAAAAATCGTTTGGGATTCAAACCATGTATGGCCTGCCTAAGCTGCAATATACAACATTTTTGGTTTTGGGTTTAGACATGCCAGGTACAGTTAGTTTGGGAAGGAATAGTTAGATGATTCAGGAAGTCCTCCCGCCAGGAAAATGAGACTTGCTGCAATTTCTGTTGCGCATTGCGAGAAGCTCTCAGCATGCGGTGACACCAGAGTCAGTCATTTTAGTCCAGAGGAGAAACCGGTACAACTTTAGCAAACGTTTCTTTGTTGCAGCTGCGTGATCACTCTGTACCTTCAGTCTATGGTCACCTACCTTAACCACTTCCCGTCTGGTCCATGTATATAAATGGCCAGACGGTGGCAGTGCAGGGGCGGGTGGTCATTTGTATATGGCCTCCCCGCCCCCTGCTTGTGCGCGTTTGCTGGGAGCGCACAGCACCGTGATCTGGTGCCCGCTATGTCCTCCGGACACATTGGAACACCGATCGCTGTACAGGACCTCTGTGCGAGGTCCCGATCATGTGATCACTGATTGGCCAATCAGTGATCACATGCAGAGTAGTAAGCAAGATGTCACTACTGACATCATTGCTTACTACATGTGAAATCTGTGAATGATCACAGAGGTCACATGGTACAGGGCCATTCACAACAGCCTTGTACCATGTGACAAGCCGTGACCAATCACAGCTCACACAGTAGTTCTCAATGGCTGCAAGAATGCAGACAGAGAGGAGAAATGATTGCTTTTACATCCTTTATGGGTAAAAAAAAAATAAAATCTTTATCACCCCCCACAAGTAGTACAGTGTCACCATGGTGACTGTACTGCTAGGGTGACAGTATGTAAAAAAAAACAAAAAATAAAATAAAATTGTAAAATAAATTTTAGAAAAATTATAATTTTTGGTTATAAATTCATTTGGGTTATTTTTTTTTTACTAAAAACATAACGGAATAAATGTTGGCCGAGATTTATGATGAAATATTATTTATTTGCTAAATTTTATAAGAAAAACACTTTTTTTCAAAATATTTTGACTTTTTCATCTATATAGCAAAAAATAATAAGAATCCCAGTAGTGAATAAATACCACCAAAATAAAGCTTTATCTGTCTCAAAAAAATGCTAAAAAATTCATTTGGGTACAGTGTTGCATGACCGCGCAATTGTCATTCAAAGTGTGACAGTGCTGAAAGCTAAAAATTGGTCTGGACAGGAAGGGGGTGAAAGTGTCCGGACTGGAAGGGGGTGAAAGTGTCCGGACTGGAGGGGGGGAGTGAAAGTGTCCGGACTGGAAGGGGGTGAAAGTGTCCGGACTGGAGAGGGGGAGTGAAAGTGTCCGGACTGGAAGGGAGTGAAAGTGTCCGGACTGGAAGGGGGAGAAAGTGTCCGGAATGGAAGGGGGGGAAAGTGTCCGGACTGGAAGGGGGGGAAAGTGTCCGGACTGGAAGGGGGGGAAAGTGTCCGGACTGGAAGGGGGTGAAAGTGTCCGGACTGGAAGGGGGGGGAAAGTGTCCGGACTGGAAGGCGTGAAAGTGTCCGGACTGGAAGGGGGTCGAAGTGTCTGGACTGGAAGGGGGTCAAAGTGTCCAGAGTGGAAGGGGTGAAAGTGTCCGGACTGGAAGGGGGGGAAAGCGTCCGGACTGGAAGGGGGGAAAGTGTCCGGACTGGAAGGGGGGGGGTGTCCGAAAGTGTCCAGACTGGAAGGGAGGAAAGCGTCCGGACTGGAATGGGGGTGAAAGCGTCCGGACTGGAAATGGGGGAAAGTGTCCGGACTGGAAGGGGGGTGAAAGTGTCCGGACTGGAAGGGGGGGAAAGTGTCCAGACTGGAAGGGGGGGAAAGTGTCCGGACTGGAAGGGGGGGGAAGTGTCCGGACTGGAAGGGGGGGAAAGTGTCCGGACTGGAAATGGGGGAAAGTGTCCGGACTGGAAGGGGGGAAAGTGTCCGGACTGGAAGGTGGTGAAAGTGTCCGGACTGGAAGGGGGGGAAAGTGTCCGGACTGGAAGGGGGGGAAAGTGTCCGGACTGGAAGGGGGTCAAAGTGTCCGGAGTGGAAGGGGGGGAAAGTGTCCGGAATGGAAGGGGGGAAAGTGTCCGGACTGGAAGGGGGGGAAAGTGTCTGGACTGGAAGGGGGGGAAAGTGTCCGGACTGGAAGGGGGTGAAAGTGTCCGGACTGGAAGGGGGGGGAAAGTGTCCGGACTGGAAGGCGTGAAAGTGTCCGGACTGGAAGGGGGTCAAAGTGTCTGGACTGGAAGGGGGTCAAAGTGTCCGGAGTGGAAGGGGTGAAAGTGTCCGGACTGGAAGGGGGGAAAGTGTCCGGACTGAAAGGGGGTGAAAGTGTCCGGACTGGAAGGGGGGGAAAGTGTCCGGACTGGAAGGGGGTGAAAGTGTCCGGACTGGAAGGGGGTGAAAGTGTCCGGACTGGAAGGGGGGGGGAGTGTCCAGACTGGAAGGGGGGGGGGAAGTGTCCGGACTGGAAGGGGGGTGAAAGCGTCCGGACTGGAATAGGGGTGAAAGCATCCGGACTGGAAGGGGAAGAAAGTGTCCGGACTGGAAGGGGAGGAAAGTGTCCGGACTGGAAGGGGGGAAAGTGTCCGGACTGGAAGGGGGTGAAAGTGTCCGGACTGGAAGGGGGTGAAAGTGTCCGGACTGGAAGGGGGTGAAAGTGTCCAGACTGGAAGGGGAGGAAAGTGTCCGGACTGGAAGGGGGGAAAGTGTCCGGACTGGAAGGGGGGAAAGTGAAAGTGTCCGGACTGGAAGGAGGGAAAGTGTCCGGACTGGAAGGGGGGGAAAGTGTCCGGACTGGAAGGGGGTGAAAGTGTCAAGACTGGAAGGGGGGGGAAGTGTCCGGTCCGGACTGGAAGGGGAGGAAAGTGTCCGGACTGGAAGGGGGGGAAAGTGTCCGGACTGGAAGGGGGGGAAAGTGTCCGGACTGGAAGGGGGTGAAAGTGTCCGGACTGGAAGGGGGGGGAAGTGTCCGGGCTGGAAGTGGTTAAATTCTGTGGACGCAGGTAGGACAGCACTTACAAGGTGTACCCCGGAACACTGGACCACACATAGACCGGAAGTGCTGACCCCACATTCAAAGAATGATCTGGGATGATAATGGAGGGGCACGGCTCCAGAGAGCGGGGGGGGGGGGGATAACATCATCTCACCGAAATCAATTCTACATTATTTCTTAGGAAATTGCAATAGTAATTATTGCAATTATCTAGCAATTATCTACACCCCATCCCACAATCATTTCATCAGGATAATATCCAGCTGCAGAGAGTTGCCTCTCCTTTTCTGAATTTCACGACAACTTTGCCTGCATTCAGCCATGAAGAAGACACGGATCTCCTGGAATGTCATGAGAAACAACATCAGCCAATGACTTGGCATACTGCTTTATGATAATGCTGCAAAGGTGGGTTACTGGAGACTAGCAACACGGACATGTTGGCGATGACGAAGTTCTCCTATGAAATTCTTATTTTTATTATTTTTAAATCACTATGGGGTGTATTTATAGAAAAAAAAGACCTGTGAAGCTGCATGCCCACATGGAAGAAAAATATATTTGAAATATATTTTAAAAATATTCTTCCCAAATATATTGACATATATTTGAAATGCTACAATTTTGTCCATTCTCAATATATTTCAAAATATATTAATGTATATACATATATATATATATATACACTGCATGTTGAAATGCGTTTTTATTACAAAATACATGAAAAATATTTTAAAAAATACATTTTCAAATATACTGTGTGTCTTTAAAAATACAAATCTGCATTTTTGGGACGCATTCACAAATATATGTAAAAATATATGTTAAAATTATTTTTTTTTTATATGTTGAAATATTTTTTTAAAAATATATTCTTCAGATTTTTTTTTAACATATAAAAAAGTCGAAAATCAGTAATTTTTCACGAATTTTCCAACATGCCGATCACTGAAACGGGGAGGAACCATGAAGATCAACCGGTGCCATTGACCCACTAACAGACCGAATTAGGTCCGATTTTTGGATGAAAAATTGGTCGAATTTCGACCCATGTATGGCCAGCCTTAGCAGTTCTTGGATTTCCTTATAATGTGTATTTATAGAAAAAAAAAGACCTGTGAAACTGCATGCCCACATGGAAGAAAAATATATATTTGAAATATATTTTAAAAATATGCTTCCCAAATATATTGACATATATTTGAAATACTACACATTTTGGCAATATTCAATATATTTCAAAATATATAAAAAAAAATATAAAAAAAAAAAAAAAAAAAAATATATATATATATATATATATATATATATATATATATATATATATACACACACACACACTGCATGTTGAAATGCATTTTTATTACAAAATATATGAAAAATATTTTTAAAAATACATTTTCAAATATACTGTATGTCTTTAAAAATACAAATCTACATTTTTGGGACGCATTTACAAATCTATGTAAAAATATATGTTAAAATTATTTTTTTATATGTTAAAATATTTTTTTAAAAATATATTGTTCAGATTTTTCAGATCGGTCATTTTTCACAAATTTTCCAACATGCCTGATCACTGAAAAGGAGAGTAACCACGAAAATCGGCCGGTGCTATTGACCCACTAACAGAGCGAAAATCGCCGAATTAGGTCCGATATTTGGATGAAAAATCGGTCGAATTTCGACCCATGTATGGCCAGCCTTAGCAGTTCTTGGATTTCCTTATAATGATAGTCGGGAATTGCTATGCATCATATACTGTAGTACACAGGTGTCAAACGCAAGGCCCTCCAGGCCAATTCATGTGGCCCTTGCACCTCTCCTGCAGGTACCCCCTATGTAAAAGAAAAATCTGAAGAATATATTTAAAAAAAATATTTGAACGTATAAAAAAGTCATTTTAGCGTATATTTTTACATATATTTGTAAATGCATTCCAAAAATGTAGATTTGTGTTTTTAAGGACATACAGTATATTTAATATGTATTTTCAAAAATATTTTTCATATATTTTTTAATAAAAACGCATTTCAACATATAGTGTATATATATATATATTTTATTGAAATATATTTTGAAATACATTGAATACGGCCAAAATTGTAGTATTTCAAATATATGTCAATATATTTGGGAAGAGTATTTTTAAAATATATTTCAAATATATTTTTTTTCCATGTGGGTGTACATTTCTTTCTATCAAAATCAGGGCAAAAACAAGTGTTATGAGACTATTTTTCTCTCCAGGTCGAATGTTATTCTTCATGCAGAGTAGAGTGAATCGGGAAAATACCGCAGGATGGCCACTAGATGAAGATGATGATCATAGGAAATAAATAAATATTTCAAACGACTGTCAGCTCCATCTAGTGGCTATAATGCTTTATTGTTCTGATTCACTCTATTCTGTATGAAGGATAAAAGAGGAGCTCTGCAGAGGTCAGCTTATTACAAGGGGATCTGTTCCTTTGGAGAGGGAGGAGCTCCGCAGGAGGCCAGATTATCACAGGGGAATCTGTTCCTTTGGAGAGGGAGGAGCTCCGCAGAGGTCAGCTTATCACAGGGGAATCTGTTCTTTTGGAGAGGGAGGAGCTCCGCAGAGGCCAGCTTATCACAGGGGAAATCTGTTCCTGAGGAGGAGCTCCTCTGGGGCTGGCCTCTCACAAGGGAAATCTGTTCCTCTGGATAGGTGGAGAAACTTTGCAGAGGCTGGCCTGTCACCTGGGAAATATGTTCCTATGGAAAGGAGAGGAGAGTCAGAGCTCCTTTAGGGCTGGCCCATCACAAAGGAAATCTGTTTCTATGGAGAAAAGGGGAGGAGCTATGCTCGGGCTGGGGCTGGCCTGTCACAGGGGAAGTCTGTGCCTCTGGAGAGGAGGAGAAACTTTGCAGAGGCTGGCCTATTACAGGGAAATCTGTTCCTATGGAGAGAAGAGTCAGAGCTCCACAGGGGCTGACCCGTCACAGGGGAAATCTGTTCCTTTGGAGAGGGAGGAGCTCCGTAGAGGCCAGCTTATCACAGGGGAAATCTGTTCTTTTGGAGAGGGAGGAGCTCCACAGTGGACAGCCTCTCACAAGGGAATCTGTTCCTATGACAAGGAGAGGAGGTGTTCTGTATATGCGTGCTTGTCACAGGGCAAATCTGTTCCTGTGAAGGGGAGAAGAGGAGCGCTGACGAGGCTGCCTGTCACAGGGGAAATCTGTTCCTGAGGAGAGGAGGAGCTCCTCTGGGTCTGGCCTCTCACAAGGGAAATCTGTTCCTCTGGATAGGTGGAGAAAGAGGCTGGCTTTGCAGAGGCTGGCCTGTCACCCCCAATGGGAAATATGTTCCTATGGAAAGGAGAGGAGAGTCAGAGCTCCTCTAGGGCTGGCCCATCACAAAGGAAATCTGTTCCTATGAGAGAAGAGTCAGAGCTCTGCAGGGGCTGACCCGTCACAGGGGAAATCTGTTTCCTGTAGAGAAGGGGGAGGAGCTCTGCAGGGGCTGGCCTGTCACAGGGGAAATCTGTTACTGTGGAGAAGGGGGAGGAGAGAAAAGATGCAGGGGCTGGCCTTTCACAGGGGAAATCTGTTCCTATGGAGGGGGAGGACGACATTGTTACAGGGAAAATGTGTTCCTATGGAGAGGGGAGGAGGAGCTCTGCATGGGCTGGCCTGTCACAGGGGCAATATGTTTGGATGGAAACGTGATGCAGTCCGTCCTATGGAGAAGGGAGGAGGAGCTCTGCAGGAGTTGACCTGTCACAGGGGAAATCTGTTCCTATGGAAAAAAGGAGGAGGAGCTCTGCATGGGCTGGCCTGTCACAGGGCCAATATGTTCCTATGGAGAAGGGAGGAGGAGCTCCACAGGGGCTGACCCGTCACAGGGGAAATCTGTTCCTGTGG